CCCCCCCCTCCCCTCCCCCAAAAAACATTAAAAAAAAACAGTAAAGTGATGAAAAACAAAAACATTCCGTAAAAGACACAAGAAAAAAACTTGAACAGTGATAAAATAAAACAAGTATCAAACTTCCGCACAACTTAGAATACAAAAGAAAAAAAAAATTCTTTTTAAAAGAACAAGAAAAAAAAAATGTGCAATACTGGAGAACCGCGAACCAAATAAACGTGAAAAAGTGATCATAAACAACAAAAAAACATGTGATATCTGTAGCCTACACCAACTCAAAGTGGAGCCTACCGTCTGTGGACAGCACAATTGGAGCAGAGATAAACTCCCCATGACCAGTGATAGACAAAATATTTTTTATACAATTCATGAAGTGCAAGAATAAGTCAATGCAGAAGGCATAACTAGTTGGAACAGAAGATGAAAATTTTTCGTCTGTTTCTTAAATTTATAATAAAAGCAGTATTCTATTCTTTAGAAAGAATTGCTTAGATTGAGAAATGTAAAACTACACTAGACTGAAACTCTAGCAGTTTATAAGTGCGCACGCAAAGCAGGTAGCGTTTGCCCAGCCAACGAAGACAAATGCAGCAAAGGGGTGTTGGAAGAAGGAGCGGGAGCAGAGGTCCACTTCCTCAACTAAAATAACAAAAAACAGTGGAAGAACTTAAGCAAAGAACCCGCTTGTTACGATAATCAACGATCGATATCACAGATTTAACCATGGCTTTCGCCAGCACACAACCCTAATGCCCAGAAAAGTGATTCGACGTTTCTTCAAACTTTTTCATGTTACTTTCTGCGTTTTTTCTTCTTACAGACGATGTAACACTTTCTGTTACCGTGCACAATACAGCACACAGTGGAAACAAGGTAGCAACTCTACAGCTTCTGCTGCTACGATTTTTCTGGTCATACTTTTTTTTTTTGATGGAACAACAAAAGTTTATCTGGGAATTCTAGTCCACGCAATCCACAACTTCCTTTGCTGTCCCTAAAGCTGATTTAAAAGAACTGATCCCTGACACTTGATCTGCAAAACAATAATTTTTGCAGCTAAATTGCAGAAAAACTTAAGCATGCAGACACCACTCCTAGAGCCTTCTAATAAATTTAAATTCTTGACGACTAACAACAACTCCAATAACCAAAAACGGTCGAGTGCACTTTTGATGCTAATTTTATGATTCAAATTACGTAGAAAATCTGGTCTTGAGAAGATGGGTTTTCGAAAAATGGCAATTTGACAACCCGAGTCTCACACAGTTCAGTCGTAGTCCGGGGTAAAACCAGTGCAGCTCTCTATTTTTGCATAAATTCAATGTGTAAAAAATATAAAGTATATTTCGAAAATATATTTATTTGAATATATAAACGTTTGGCGAGAGAAGACTCATCAAGGTTAGACTATTGTTGAAGCAGAGTGTAGCAGTGTCTTCTTTAGTTTTATGTAACACTTAACAACACGTGCGGTCAAAAGCTGTAGTCAGGATTAGATAGCCACTTCCGACATGACAATTGCCACACAATACATTGGAAGTTGGATTACTGTAAATTACTGTTTTGCCACTAAAAAATTCCAAAAGTACGCTTGGAACCTATCGCTCGTGATGAAAAGTGAAGGTAATAAAATTAAGCTTTTTAAAAGTACTTCGTCCAAATTTTAAGAAATTTCAAAGTTTTATTACGCTCAGACTTGATTTTGTATTTGCTGTCACTTGAATCCTCCCCAAAATATGTTCAAGCCGTAACGTTAGGCCTGCATTTCGTGCAGAAATTTCACTTTTTGTGTTTTGCAAAGCCAATCACTGCAGCTATTTCACGACCAGTATGTTCTTCATTTAACCAAACTGTATCAATAAAAACACAGAAAACATCGAAACGGCATGATGGAAAGTGTTGAAACAGAAATTGGAAAAACTAACACACCTCAAAGACATTTGCTGGTTTCAAAATCTTTTTTAGCTTTCTCCGGTTGGTAGTTGATTCATTTTTTTTTCATTTTAAATTGACGCTTCCTCGGAGATCTTTACGGGTTTTAAAAGGTCTTAACCTTTTAAAACCCGTAAAGGTCTCCGAGGAAGCGTCAATTTTCCATGCTCAATCTTTTTTGTTTTATCATGCTTTTTTAATACTTCTCATATCATTCTAATTATTCTTCTTAGCTGAAAACTTTATTGCTTATAAACTCATTCAAAATAGACTCTTGCAAAGATACTTAGAGAAAATTGGATAAGCTTTAGAAGTGCGTGCCCAGTAACAGAAAATTCAAGTTACTGTTAACACAAAATTTAACCCGCAAACGAGGAAGATTCAACTTTATTTTATAAGATATTTTTGAGAAATGCAGTATACCGTTTTAAAACTCGACCACAGACTGTTCGTTCTGAATGTACTTTTAGAACTTTGAGATGATGAAGTAATGCTTTAAAGTAACCCGATTTCCGGCATATTATGCGACATTTCACATAATCTAAAAATCGTAGAATCTTTTTGGACAAATCCCTCAAAACAGTGTAACATTATAGTTGTAGATTCGATTAGCAACCTGTTTTTGTTTTGAAAAACTGCTGCTCTACAGAATAGTAGTGTTCTTTAAATGCAGCAGTACCGGCGCCTCTGTTTTATGAGATTTATCAGACTTTGTGTGGCACTCACCACTTTCCACCTCGCGGAAGAAGTGAGTCAGAAATATATCGAACTCTCCCCAAAGTCTCCACAAAAAACGGGGTTAACTCAGCAAAACTTTTTGAGTTTCGTATTCGCACCGTTCACCCAATGCCGTTGCTTAACTCCTTAGTTAGATTTATTTTTACCTTCTGACGCAACCACTAAAACATATTACAAATGCGGCTCTGGAGCGACTTTTTTTGGCATAGGACATCCACGGTAGCAACAAGTGAATATCTGTTTAAAAGTTCCAGCATTAACGAATTCTGATTACCCAACTGATCAGAAAAACATGGTAATGCAGCTACTCTTGCAATTATCAGTTGCATTTTCTGCTGCACCTCTTTGTGCCTCCATGTTGCATATGACCACAGTCGTTTTAGCAAAGTAATTTCAGAAATCAAGCGCAAACCAATGCGATAAAAAAATCACGTCATAAAAGATGTCTTTTATAACGTACTCAATTTAGTCGACATCAATTTCTTGAATGAATGAACGGCAGAAGACAATCTGGTGGGTCATTTTCTCAAAGAAAAAAAAATACCAAAGGCTTCTACAGATAATGCAGCTTTGGTCGCATAACCTCGGGAAACAACAGATTTACACCAAAAAACATTATTAATGCTAACCTACTCAAAATAACCGGCTTCCAAAAAGGTTTGCCACTGGTGATTTCGACAATTACAAGAGATTATAAACTTTATCAACTTGTAGAAGAAATAAACAATCAAAAACGCTAAAAGTGAACTTTCATTTAACTTTCTCAATTAACTTTTTAGCTACACATTTAGGAAAATATGTAGCAGAGAATATATTAAACCGGAGTCATAAAACCCACAAGTTTCTGAAATCTTAACTCTCTCATGAATGAAATTTAAAAAAAAAAAGCCGTAGGTACTCTACAATTTCTATTTTTCACAGTGCCGTAACAGTAGAGTTAAGCTGAAACTTTGAGTCACTACAAAAGCAAACAAGTCTAAATTTTTCATATTGCTCCTCGCATAAGGAAATCCATTAATTAAAAAAAGCAATGTAAAGAAAAGCAGATTCTGAGTTCTTCTGCGATCTGTTCTCCTTGTTCTGTCAGCGTAAAAATAAATTGATATCATTTAATATAATTCACTGATATAATATCATTTTAATATAATTCTTTACAAAAAAATTAAAGACCACAGTAGATGAAACCCCCCTTTTAAGTGTCATAATCTTACTACGAACAGTTCTCAGCTACGATAAAGCCATAAGCCATGAGATTTCAATCTCTTTCAATTACGTATTAATTTTTAAATAGGTACAGAAACCTTTGCCTATCTTAATATGGAAAGACCCTAACTTTGACATCCACTATACGTTTTCTTTCAGTTTACTTTCACTTAATTATGACTGTTTATTTGACACCATTAGAACATAAAATTAGAAGCAGCGAGACGGCCCTCTACCGCACTTACGTTAATAACATCCAAAATATCAGAAAATTCAACCTGCGTCGCCCCGTACAGCCTTTCTTACCTCCTTTAATCACGTGCGACATCTTTAATGGTTCAAAGTTTGCCATCATATAAGACACCACATTCACTTCAAAACTCTGCTCATTAAAATTACTTTATTTAGTGCGCCTCACAAAATGTATTAGATAAGATCTCTACTAAACGAAAACCAAATCAGTGCTTGCTGAGCAAAAAAAGCCAGGTTCCAGAACTGCATGAATTGCAATACGCATTTCTTACAAAAAAAATCTTGCCATTGATCAAAAGGTATAAGGAAACAAAAAACGAGATTTGCCTCTACCTTAGCACTTCCTCAATAACTGTTTTAGGCAGTTCTCAATGAGATCTAGACATAATTTATAAATCTAAAATCTAGTGTTATTTGGCTAACAAGCAACCCAGAATAACTGTCTTATTTACCAAAAGCTTTTGATCAATAACACATTAATGAACAAAACCCGCGTTAATAAAGGCTTTTTACATGAATTACAAGTAACAAATAGTTTTAAAAAAACTTACAAGAAGCTCAAGTACTTCCACTCTTTTTTTTTTTTCGAGTGACTGCAGGGATACAAGTTTATGCAATGGGAACCTACAAACTCTAAGAAAATAATTTCAAACAAAAACAAAGAAGCGATAAAATACGAATGTACCAACCCAGCGTAAACAGTACTTACTGGATTAGGATGACGAACAGTTCAGCTCCCACTCACAAAACTTGCTCTTTTTGAGGCTGAAAAATTTTTAACGTTTCAAAACCATTAAATACCTTATAGACAGCAATAACTCAAAGAAATTCCACTTTTGAATTCTAACGCATATACGACTAAACACTTTGAGATACAGACCGTAGTTCTACATGTATAATAAGCACTCTGATAAAGTTCTACTTTAGTCCGTAAAAGCGCAAAAACTTGAATAAACTTGGCATTTATTGCAGATCAGAACAGTTAAAGTACGTACTAAACAAGTGACAGGTGAATTATACATGACAGAAACATTAAAGACACATATTTATTCTTTGAAAGACAGACCAGTAAAAGAGAAAAGCTTACTATGACAAAGGAGGAATGTCCGTAACAGGCCAAGAGCCTGCTCTCAATATTTAAAAATTCCGAAAGTCCCCAACAACATAGTTATAAACGAGAAAAAAACTTCACATTGGCAGTAAAAAACTCTTTAAAACTTTAATAAGGAAATTACTTTACTTTTCCTCTACCGTTTAACTTCGCTGAAAATCTCGCCTAACAACTTGTTAAACAAGGAAAATTTATTTCTTGAGTAGGCACACTACTCGCCAAGCAACGATATCTCAGATTCCGCTTAATAAAAAAAACAATAAAAGTAAGACAGCCAAAATTTGTTGATCGCAGCTTTACTGTAAACGCAATCAACATCAGAATTAAAGCGCTCTTTTATACCAAAAACGTGCTCCGAGCAACCAAAATAACCAACAACATCACAAGTCATGAATAATAGCAAAAGTGTGATACCCAAGTAACTTAATTTGGGTAGTGTCGCCAAAGTCACAAAAGCTGTAAGCAATTCCCGACCTTCTCCTAAGTCTTTCTTAATGGAGGAACATTTAAACACAAGAGAATCGTATGAAAACAATCCTTGGGAACTATAGCTTTCCAGCTTAAAACGCAAACTATTACTTAGCTAGCTACACGACAAACAACGAGCTGCTGGAAGCAGCGAAACAAAGAATTACTTCCAGCAGTTGACTATACCATACTCAGTCACAAAAATGTAAATTTAGATTGCAGTCGAAAAGAAGCAACTGAGATCGTTTTCAAACCTACTGATACCTACTTTGATATACAATTACCCACATATCAGATAAGCAGTTTTCATTACCACTTAGCTGTAAAAAATGCATAAACAAAAAAATTAGCGTCAAGTTTCAAGAATACGATACTAGTAATCTCTTCTTACCAAGTCGCCTTTAGAGCCATGAACTCGAAACCGATAGAGACATGTATACTTCGATCCGTAATTTGACAAAATGCGAAACTCGATGTACTTTGCGAGAGTAGGTAAAACAGATGTCTATAATCGGTGCGACTCACTTAAGGTGAAAATAATACAAGAAGAAATAAGAAGAAAACCAGTAACATAGAACGATATTAATTAAGATAATTTCAAGAGCACAAGAAGAATAAAGAGCAAACTTGCGTTTTAAAGAATTGTAACGGTGGACCCAAGTCGGAATACTTGTATTCTCCAAGCAATCTTCCTGTAGACTCTTCCAAGTTGTTATAACCCTGTAAGTATTCCCCAAAATGAATATTGCAGGATTACAGATTTCTTTGCGCTAATTACCCTTTCCCTCTCAAAACCCTGGAAGGAAGAAATGTCAATTTAGCATATTTCTCTAAAAACTGCTCAAAAAAACTATGTTTTGCTAAGAAATTAGGCTTATTTGCTACAGTCCAATAATATTTCTAGCATATCAGTATTTAAAAATTGATGAGTCCCGACCCAGATTTGAAAGTTTTTTGGGGCACTGCTTATAGTTCCGTCAGGGTTTAATTTCGCTGAAAGGTGTTCATAGGATACGGCACTGACATTCGCCGGTTGACTAAGCTTCACAGTGATAACTCCGTTACCACCCTCAAACGCCCAACATTCACCTGGTCCAAACCCCAGTTTCCTCTAGAGAATATGCAACATTAACGATCAGTAAAAAAGGTTGAAAAACTAAACTTTGTTCTAAGTTTTTTTCAAGAAGAATCAACATATAAAGCACAAACAAGTCATTTTTGCGTCATTTTTAGTAAGCCATCCAGTGATGATGAGAAACCTGTATAACAATTCCAGGACTTTTTGTTGGCGAAAAGAAAAGCCGAAAAACGCCTGACATACGCGGCATATAGGTTGCTGAAGTCTTTTCCAAAACAATCTTCCCACCTAAAAAAAAACCGTCAGCAGGAAGCCCCCAAAATAAAAAAAACATAAAAGTACCACCATTTACCGGTTTAGCACGTTTGTTGCACACCTTTCTTTCCAACCCTTCTTTTGGTTTTTAATTTTAGAAGAAGCCTTAACAGCACTTATCTAATATATTCCTCAAGCTTCCAGAGTTCCCAATGAATTCCAAAATCATTAAAATTTTAAATAACGTTCTTTCAGTTTGATTATACTATCCCCTCCACTTCCCCTACTCCTATCCCTTTAAAAAAATGAATAAATTTTTCCAACCCTTACTTCCCAAATAAAATAAGAATCTCATTTGGAAAACGCTCTTACGTAAACTAGTATTTATCTGAAACCTCAAAAGTTCAAAAATTCAGAAGTTGGACACAAATTTATAAGCATTTTAGTCAGAAAGTGTTCATGGTCAACACCGATTTCAAATTGTTCAAAAGCCCGCTCGCAAAAACCCCACCCAGATCGTTAATGAAAAAATAAATCTTCTTACAACAACCAGATTTCACTCAGCGTTGCGATGTTTTAATCCTTTTTCAAAAAAGACAGAGAAGTGGGATGTAGACGTAACTGAACTAATTGCAAAAATGCCAGTTACTTTTTCTGAAACCCAAATGCGCAAGTTCTTACAGAAAAGCTTTAAAAAATTAGAGGTTTCTAGCAAAGTTACCTGCTGATTCAACGGCAAAGTCGTGAAGGCCAGTTTTATCAGCATCATAAATTTCAAGTGCAGACTTCACCAATGACTCAACGCTACTTCTGTCACACAATTCTTTCAGCAACTCATACTTTTCGTGAAGTTTTGCAATATCCATCTGAACGTTCTTCAGAGCCAAAGTGATTTGGTCCACGTGCTGAAATCAAACCCAGTTTATGCTGTAACAAAAACACAAACGATGCTTTGCCTTCCCCGGCACCAAAAGTATAAAAAACTCTGCACCACTAACACCAAAATTGTTTCGATGTCTTCTGGAACCGCAAAAAAGAAAGAGATGAGAAACAAAATTAATTTTTAAGAACTACAGTAACATTACTTTTTCTAATTTCGCAAGCGTGTTGGAATTTTGAACCGCTACAACACTATTCACTTCTTCCTCTATCCCAGACAGTATAACACTCAAGCGTCTCTCAACATTATCCTTCATCTTCTTCAATCCCACAACAGGATCGTCACCTCAAATTGAAGTTTTAATACCAAAAAAGCCCCTAACACAATAAATCCTTCATCTACAGAAAAAAACTCTGTGTAGCCATTTTCACTCTGACAAAAACCAAAAGTTATTTGAAAAGCCATATTTCCCACTACCGTTGTAAAAACGACGCGAAAACGATATTTCAGCAAGAAAAATCCCGACAACTAGAAAGAAGATACAAGAGAAAGTCCACCAACGCCATCTTAATAGGTTCTCGCAGAAATAGGGAACTCTAAAGAAAACTGCTACAGAAAAAGTATGCAAAATTAAGAAGTGCTATATTAAGAGAAAACCTAAAAGAAGACTAAAATTTTGTAGCAAATTGAGTTGAAGAAAAATACAAGGAACTTCAAACTGTCAAAAAAACTTGCTTGCAGGAATCAGATAAATGTCGAGGTTCTAGAGCTTGAATCTGATTCCCACTTAGTTTTGAAAACGCTATTTCAAGCAGGGGTTGCGCAAGTGGTAACTCTTTCAAATTTGAGCTATTCCTTAAATAACTGATTTTACGTCAAAAATAATTCGACAAAAACGAGAATGACCTTTAAGAAAACATAGAAAAAGAACGAACTCTCCGTTTGTCTCAATTATATTTTCTGTTTTCATATTTTGACGAATGCACCGAATTCTACGGAATGAATCCGGTATTTCAGAGTTAATGTCTCGCGGAACTTCGAAATCCATCTGCAAAAAACAAAATATGATATTTCCAAAATAAAAGGCTATTGCCACTGTTGCTACCAAAGAAAACAATTAACATAAACAACCTGTTTCAAAATCTAATTTTTCGGAAATATGCGTAAAAGGTGACATGTTAACAATAATGTCTATAAAAAATTAATAAGTAAATAAAAAATACAGGGAGAGGATTGGTGTAACATAAGGCCAAGAGAACTCACAAATGAGCACAACAAATACATGTGTAAAATTAATGAACTAAATCCATACACATACACCGATACTTACAGTCTTCTTCTGAGTCTGAATAATTTTGACCAAGCGGCCGGAAGAAGACTGCTGTTTACTTTTAACAGGCATAACTACTGTGTTTCGCCTAATTAGTCCTGTCAACTCGAAAGGAGACGCACCGAAGGCTAAATCAGCTTTGAAACTTGCAAAGTTGAAGTTCCTGAATAAATGCAACTTGAAATCGGTTGTACATACACATCTCCATTTTCACCCTTTCCAAAAAAATCTCGAATATATTTTTTCCACTAATTTAATAATAAATGAAATATGCGCTGTTGACAGCTGCGGCCAAGAGAGTATTTATAATTGCAGTTTACATAACCGTCTATATTTTATCTACTAATAAGAAAAGAAAAAAACATCATAATTCCACTTTTTTATATACAGCAGCATACTTTAAGCAAAACTGGACCTTTAGTAAAGGAGGAATGAAGACAACGGGATACTACGGTAAGCAGAACAAACTAAACCCCTCAACCAAAGAAGCCAAAATTTAGCGGTTGGTCAAAAAGTTTTAAAAAAGATATTTACGGCCTCTAAAGATATAATAAAACTGTAGCAGAAAGTCGGCCACAACCTGAAATCGACTAACCACTGGACTTCAAAAAACTGATTAATTTAAATGACAAGTCAGGGGAACAATAAATAATCAATGACTGTTAAGAGGGAACCTCCTCTGTTCTCACCTAAATTCACAGATGGACTTAACAGCAATGTTAACAACTAATTACAATTGTCCATCACATCGTCAGTTCACCCTAAACCGTTGTCTTTACACTTTTAACCAAGATCTCCCTTTTCGTATTTTCAAACCTATACAAAATAAAAAACGTGCTAGCAGTGACGGTTACCCAAATCTTTTGCCCATGTCTGTTCTGAGCTAAAATTCATCATATCGTAGCAATGAAGTAGTCGAAAATCCACCTCAGGTCAGCTTTTTTTTTTTGAAGCGGAAGGCTGTCACTTTCTTACAGCATTTTCTTCAGACCAAAATGCTTTGTTACTAGTAACTGCAGAAACTAACAATGGCTTAGCTGAAGCATATGTACTCAAAAGTACTGCAAATAATCTAAGAACTGCCACATATGTACTGCAAATAATCTAAGAACTGCCACAAAAAAGTTCTCTGTAACCCACAAGACGACAGCAACTAAGATATAATCAGCCTCCGCCGCAAAACTTCCACGACAACCACAGGGTACTTTTGACAATTTAAAAGTTCTGTAATAAGACTTCTTTTGACAGATTCAGGAAGTTTATTTAACAACATAAATAGCTCTAGAACTTTTCTACCTTAAAGCACCAACTCAAAAAATGACTTTTCTTGCCGATTTATTTTTTCGTTGTTATCGCCTTCTTACATTCTTCAAGTTTGTCCATTACAGTTTCAAGGAACTTCGTGCAAGCTTTCCTTGCTTTCATGGGTTTAAACTTTAATGCCCTTTCATTTCCCATTTATGTTTTTATGTTGACAGGCGTGGAGATATTTTGCGCGCGATGCTTCTATAACCGATTTATAAATATGACCTTCTGAGTTCTGCCTTCCACTAGATGTTTTACGTGTCTTTACACAAAACTGTGAATACCATTAGATTTCTAACACTAATTATAGAAGCTAACTCTTATCATTCAGCAGCTGTATCCAGCTGTACCACTTTTCACCTCCTGTCAAACCTAAATCTGATAGATGAGTGGTCAACAACGGATTAAAAATACGCACGATAAACGAAAAAAAATAAGACACAAAAATTTTGAGCAGGAAGCTGAACTGTTGAGAAGAGCAAAGCAAACAGTGTAAAACACTTGCGTATTCAATGCGTTACGGGTTTATCCGAGTATGATCACAGATCGCATAAAACAAGTGAGAACTCGCTATTCAAAACTGCATTAGCGCAAGTTGGATAAAATCAAAAAAATCTTTGCAGATGAATCCAGAGCACCAGAAAACTCTTGTAAAAAAAAGCCCAAGTTGTCCGCAAAAACCCGATTTTCCACAGTAGGCACGATAACGTCGTACAGCGTTGAAGCTGTTGCGATTTGGTTAAAAATGTCTTCTACACCGCCAAAAAATTCAATGTATGAGTCTGAAATGTTCACTCTGCAAACCGTCACCCTGACGACTAGCGTTAAAAGGTCGGTTAAAACTGCTCACAGAAACCAACGATGGCTAGTTGTACAGTGGAAAAGTACGTGTAGTCCGTGACACAAATTTATTACAAGAGTGCTTCAGGCAGAGTTTTTGCTTTGTCTTACTGTAGGTACAACTGCTTCCCTTCTATTTTGAACAGAGAAGCTTAAAGGGATAGTGGTGAATTAACGGGGTTTACACGTCATACAGTCAGGTTCACCAATGCTAACCTTCGGTGCTGTAATCATGCCAAGACAAAAAAGGTTTCCTTGCTTCATAGGGTCTTTTCCGTTCTTCAGCGGAAGGTATTACTTAGTGACACTCCCAACCGACCACTCTAACCCTCAAAATAGTTCTCAGCAAGAGTTGCGTGGGTTATTTAAGCCTTAAATTTTAAATGAGGTCGCCCAATTACACTGCCAGCGGCGCACGACTCTACGGTTTTAGGTGTGGCGTTAGCAGCAGAATCCAGATAAAGTTGCCTACAGCTTTTCATAAAAAATACATGACGAGTTCAGGGCAGCTACATTCAATAAAATTTACTTTTTCTCTATGTTATGTATATTTGCATCACTTCTGTAGTCATTCTGGGAAACCCACATATTTCTTCATCTGTAGTTTTCAAAGGTTTGGTTTTGGTATATATTTGGTATATCCCCCTGGGTTAGGTCCGTCTTGACGGAGTATTTCCCGTGTGCTAATGCAGTGCAGTGAGGAGCTGCACTTATATCCATTTTCTCTCAGCAGCTCTGAATTATCATTCAACGTCCGCAATCTTTGAAGTAAACTATTTAAATTATGTGAAAAATTTTAATCTGGTTTAATAGAAGTAACAAATTTATCAGAAGTTACCACTTATGATGCTCTTAAGGCTTACATCAGGTGTTACACATGGACGTTTTGAAAAGTTGAATACTTTGCCTCATGTTTCAAATTAGTAGTCTTGTTTCTGTCCTAAACTCGCACTTTTTTAGCCCTTGTTACTGGGGTTTGTTAGCCCTAAATCACTTTACATCAAACGCTTTACCCATTACACAGCAAACTGAAACGTTAAGCTTTTGCAATTCATATAATCTTGGAATTACTGTGTGATTTCTTAAAGAATTTGGCGAACCCAACAGATAGATTTGTAATGTTTTATTTACGTAAGAAGAAAACAATGGTTCAATTTACAGTTCGTGACTTCCAGAACTCTGCGTGACGCATCTGAGCTGTACCAACATCATTTGATACTTAAACATATGACCTGCCTTGAGTGACTCAGTATTACCCTTTCCTACACTCGTTGATAATTGCATGCTGCCACGCATTTATAAGCCAAATTTCATTTATGAAACGCTTGGTGACATCAACGCCGATATTATAATAAGTACAGGGCTAGAGACAAACAATTAGGGCACTTTTTAGCAAAGTGCAAAACAGTTTGGGCTGGTGGCAAAAATATTATTCTGAAGCTGTCGCTGAATACTATACCACCGAAGCCCTATAGGGTTTGTGAGACAATAGGAACCGCGTCTAGAAACGTTAAATATTTTACGGTTTGTCAGACTGTAAATATTTAGGATCACAGGTCGGAAAAAAAAAACTTGTTCTCCTGTACTTGAGAGATAAATTAAAAGTCACTTTTCATTACCGTTTTTAAAAAAACCATTACGTGTTATCAGAAGCAGCGATCAATCTTGCAGTGGTAGAAAGTGAATGTTTTACGATTTAATTGTCCGCCTTCTGCTGAAAATCTAACGCATCAAAATTCATCTAGGTAGTGTTGTATTAAGGTCTGAGAAGTTGATTTTTGCGAACATAATCACTTTTAAAAAACTAGCACTTGGCAATTTTTTATGCTGATTTCTGTTATATGCTTATAAGTGTAGCTGAAGTAGAGAAAAAAAAATTTTATTTCAAGAATTTAGTCACTTACATTAATGGGTAACGATTCAAACCATGCAAGTATAGTCATAGAATGTAAGGTTAAGATTAAAGCACATAAATGAAAAAAAAGGGAAGAACAGAGAACGAAAGAAAACGTCAAATGTAACATAACACAAAATCAAAATTTTACAAGGGTTTAAGTAGTTTTTGGTGATAAATTTTTTTTAGCATATAAGTAATTAATATAAAAAAGTCAAGATAAACCTTTAATTTTTTACAAGGTTAGTTATTCTTCCTACAATTCCTACTCAATTAGGGCAATATCAAAGAAATATTAAAATTAGATCGCTAAATCAAACTAAAGCGGGCGAAACTGTTTCTGATGCAGAGCTGGCAGATAAAGAAAAAAATGAAGGATGGCTGGAGAAGAAGAATTTAAATTTTAATCAATTTTTACAGGTTTTGATACTAGAGGCGCTTTTTGCCCCTGCTCTTCGGCACAGTGTCAGAGGGCATAGAAGGTTGATTCTGAAACGTTCAATGACGCTTTCGAAAGAGGAAGATCGTTCCTTACGTCGATTGTGTCAGAAGGTCTTACAACACTAGATACCTTCTAAACCATCAGATCCAAAGCCTAAAATTTTCAAAATAAGGGATTGAACTGGAAGCTAATGAAAATAGAGAAAACAAAAATATCGACTATACCTGAGAAAAATCGGGAGCCTGTTGTGGCAAATTAGGAATCTCAACTGTCTCTGTGAAAAACTCTAGACTTGCGGCCACTTCAAAAAATTTCTTTATTTCAATAAATAGAGCTTTAAATCTTTCTCGATTACCGCTAAACCTTTTATTATGATTCTCTGAAATAGAAGCGTGCAACTTCCTTTGATAGAAACTTTGAATAATGAAGAAAAATGAATAAATAAAAGGCATTCTGTAGCGTCTTTGTTTCCTTGTCAAGAAAGGTTTCTCAGCAATTTGAAACTAAACTTATCAAATTAGGTTTATCGAGTCAAGAACTTTACAGCGTTATTTTCTAGCATTATTTCAGGACACAGAGATGACTAGGTAGAAAAACTGTGTCTTTGCTAATAAGCCAGAAGTGAACGTAGAAAATTGCAACGAATTATAGACATTTTGCTGGCTTAAATAATTTGTGCACCAACGGTCGCCAATTATTTAAACAGTTCTTACCCTCACGAATTCTTGAAAAAGCCTTCAATAAAAATTCATAAGCTGCACTGACGTCAGCAACGACGAGAATCAGTGGCGTTAATAGACACCGAATTCGTGGATTCGAGGTGTCCCATGGCTTAACTCCCATTGCCTCAAAAACTATAAAAACAAAAAAAGAAAATATTTTTAAAAAGCGTTGTAAAATGACCAGCGCACAAAAATTATGAAAAAATGCGCACCCGTGGACTGCAGATACAACAAGTCGTTTATCTGGTCCATCAGTTTAATAGAAATTTCTGAAAGGTTTTCTAAATTATCATTAAACAAGGCGTCCATCTGCAGATCTGGCAACTGAAGACTGCCAAGGAAAAAACGATTCTTAAAAATAAATAAATGGTCATTTGAAAAAAAAAAGAACCGTGTGTGAAATAACTTTCTTTCTTGTGTGAAGTGGAAAAGAACTTATCAATGGTTATAAATACTTATTTAGAGCTTCTGAATGACAAGCCGAAACAGCCTAGAAATTAGAAAAGTTGCATTTTTAACAGGTACAAGTGAATAGTTAAAAAAAGTTTCAAGGAATACTTACATTTTCCAGAAATATAAGGCGATTGTTAAGAAGTTTACAGTAGGCAGAGCTTGGCGAACAGTAAGACGACGTATGAAGGTTCTGCCAGTAATTTCTAAGTTGTACAATACGTGACTTGTAAGGCTGCAGGTCTTTAACAACCTTTAGATCATCGTACTGTATTGACTGTAATTTACAGAACCAGTATTGCAGCAAAAGAAAACAGAGCCTTCAGAACGTAATCAGCCAAAACCTTTTTCTCGGATTATTAAACACTACAAATGTCAAAAAGTTTAGATTTGTTTTGTTTGAAAAAATGATGACGTTTAATAACCTTATGAAGCCTGTAACAAAACTCCCATGAAAGCGCAGCGCTATCTTCAAGTCGAATACATAATGCGGAATTTGAAAGTAATGCAGAGAATTCTTGATCTGCGCCAGCAGTTATAAGTTGCATATGTGTTTGCTGTATCGACACCTCTCCGTTTAAAACTCTACGCAAAAAGTTGATCTAAAATGATCTTAGAGGCCAAAGACCGTACACTCTTAGAAAAAATTTTGAAAAAATGCTTTTACAGAAGTGGAAACCGGCCATCTTTTTTAAAAAATTCAAAAAAATTTCTTACAAAAATAGTTCCAGACTAGACTATTTAAAAAACTGTTTTAATGACTAAGGTTGACTACGGCATTATAATTGTCGTGACTTTGGTGCTATGAAACTTTGTCGTATTTTATCTACTTTGAAATTTTAAAACGACTGGTATGAGTCCACAATTATCGAACGTCGAAAAGTGTATTTCAGTTGAGTATCGAGGTTGGCTGCAACGATGATTTAACGATTTGAGATGGTGAAGTGGTAAAACTACCAAAAAAGAGATCTGAGTGTCTTATATGAGTTCAGACGACGAGCTTCAGGCACGAACATCAAAATGCAGCATATAAATCTTAGTTTGCTTTCAAAAAATAAGTTTGTTGAGGACAAACTTTTAATGAGAAATAGATAGCTTGAAAATGAAAAAATATTCGTTAAAGAACTGCAAGTAAATGAAACAGAACAATTTTCGGGTATTATAGCTTTTTAGTCATTAGGTACTGCCGAGTTTTTTGCTGCTTTCTAAAAGAAACAAAGGCAAGCCGCACTATTCCTATGTAGCTGCCAAATGCTTATAAAATCTACCGCTAAATTCACTTCTGCCAAAGATAAAGAAGATAAAAAAATTTTTTACACTTCTTTTCACGGTGAATTATTTTTTTTGAACGGTACTGAGAAATAGTCAATGGCATCTCGTGACTTAATGTAGATTCTACTTTTAACTGTACAAAGTTGTTAACAAAACACTCACATTAGCATTTCAGGAAATCGAAAATTGTCAAGGTCAGCTTGCCATAAGTGATTTTTAAAAGTTGAGTTTTTCACAAATCAAGTAGCTAAAATTTTCAAAAAGTATTTTAATTTCTCGCACTGTTTGTAAAACTCACGATTAATAATCATACAATCCATTCTTTTACAGAAGAATTCCCAAGTATTT